AGAGAGAGAGAGAGAGAGAGACAGACAGACAGACAGACAAAGACAGACAGAGACAGAGACAGAGAGACATACAGACAGACAGAGAGACAGGCAGACAGACAGACAGACAAAAAAGGTTGACACTGAAACACAGGGATGCGAAAGCAGACAGCATAAACATTATGAGGGCAAACCACGTTGCCATAAAGAAAAGCATGATCAAAGAGCTCCCATGATACAAGCAATAACGAGTAGGACAAGCAGGAGACATAACAGAAACCGGGACAGGCCCAAGGCCTCAGACAAATCAATGACGACACTTAAAACTTGTTTTGATCTAGCGGAGACAAGGAAAATCCGTCCATCTCATCAGGCAATGGGCATGTTGCATTGGGAAAGAACCCCCCCCCCCCGAAAAAATAAGAAAGGGAAAAAAATCCAAAACAGAATCAACAAAGAAGATCCCAAGTTGCTGCGACAAATGATGGCGTAGTATATCTTAGAATTGTTCATTATATTAGGATATGAATTTCTGTTGCTTGATGACGCATATCATGGGGAAAATAACCTGCCTCCGTGGGTAGAGTTGATGTCTTTTATTACGATTTTTTCCTTTAGTATCGATTTCTTTTCAGGGGGGCACGTCCCCAAAAATTCAAATGCTGTCATGCTGAACTAGTGTGGATGAGCCTTGTTCATACCCCAAACGGGACCGTCTTGAACTTAGGTTATTCAGTGTGATAGCAAGGTTCTCAATCTACTTGGACGGATCCTATCGGGAAAGGACCAGAAATTATGAGGTTCCTGTCCCTTTCAACACTTTTACAACGTTTACCATACCATACAGTAATGAGGAGAGATATACACTGGTATGTGACGGTCTTTTTTAAGCATGGAAAACTGAACCGAAAAGACGTGAAAGACGAGGGCGACAGATGTTTGATGGGAAAGAAAAAGCAAACCACACCAGAGCGCCCGTCTACCAGACACTGACAAGAAGTATAAGGTAGCAGAGCACAAAATAGCGACCACAAACCACAGGCGACCCCCTCCCCCCTTACACACAAACACACACACAGACACACAGACACACACACACACACGTGTTTAATTTCACTTTTCTGAAGGAACCACCTTGCACATAAAATCTCGAACACAAGGCACATTCCATCAAACAAACCGCCGACTCCAAAAATATGCGGTACCATAATTCTGCAAAGAATTATGCGCGGCATGTGAAAATATCAAAGACGAAAACGAACCAACTGACTATAAATAAATCATAATTTGGAATGGAGCAGCAAAAGTGGCGTGGATTACAAAAAACGGCACCCGCGCTGGAGTCGGCGAACAGGGGCTGGCATAAATCCGAGTCATCATACCGGTTAATCGGTCGATCAAATGGGAGACCACTGCCAGTACAAATGCCTTTAGAAATAGTCACGACTCAGTCTTATGAAGCATCACACAGCAATGAGTGAGGAAAACTTCACATCAAAATCAACCTAAATACCAGATATTTTTTACTGACTTATTTTCTGACTAAATAATCCCCACAAAACTAGATTGCGAAACGTTAAAAAAGACGAGTAACGATAATAATAATCATTGCATTTATATAACGCATATCCATGCTCAAAAGCTTGCTCTTAACAAGTAGTAAGAAAAATAAATGAATAAATCCCAGTGCAATAAGGAAGAAAAAAACAACAAAAAACTGCACCAAATTATCGGGTTCACAAGATAACGAGTACTCTCGCAGCTCCACTGCCACCAGTAACGCACGACGAGACCCGAAAGTCGAAAGGTACATACACATACCCATAGAGAGAGAGAGCACCGTGCGCGATGTCGGCTGGGTATTCCAGAGCGATGATGAGAACGATGAGGCAGCGCGGAATGCCACTGACTGACTGAGTGTGGGTTAACCGGTTACGTCACCACGTGAGTGACAACACAGACGGAGTACACGACGCGGTGCAACAACAACACCACCCACAGGCTTAGGTACCACAGGCGGCACGGTGCTCCGGTCGATACCATTCAGTGCCGATTAAGAGCAGGTACTTTCCACCCAATCACCGATCCCTACTCGATATCAATTGTACCCCCCCCCCTCACCTCAATCAAGCCAAAAAAAAAAAGAAAAAAAAGCAACACCTCAAACCCCAAAGAAACAAAACAGCAACCCACACAAAAAAAGACAACAAAAAAAAAAATTCCTTAAAAAAAATTCATGGAGAACTACAGTTTACCTTTAAACAACCAAACAAAGCCCATTCACAATATACAAGACGAACACGGCAGCACCATAAACTATCAGGCACCGGGGTGCATCGAACCCCCCCCCCCTCCCTCCCTCCCATGAAAACCACCAAAACAACAACAGCAACAACACACACAAAGTTTAAAAAAAAAATTCATAGCCATCTTCATTTCCAGCTTTTATCTGGATACTCCCACCCCCTCTCTCCTCGACTAAATAAAAGTTTCTTCGAAACTAGACAGACGCAATATCGATCGTTCCAGAACAGCCCGGGTGGCACCAGCCAGGAGCTCACAGGTGGGCCGATAGCTACTCACTATCACAACACGCAATGGCCACTTCACGTACTACGGCTCACATTTCTCTTCCGCTGGTTTGGACAAACCATTTGTTTCACCACGACCCGCCCAAAATTTCCCCTCAGAGAGAGAGAGAGAGAGAGAGAGAGAGAGAGAGAGAGAGAGAGAGTTCAGCTTTACATCACAATTGCGTGACAACGCAGTTTACCATATAAGCTCCAATTCATGCCGGAGGCACCGAAATCTGCTTCCCACATTCCCAAATTTTCGCTTCACGTTATGCAATTATGCGCCTCCAGCTTCTGCAACTTCCCACTTTGTGAAAAAAAAAATGTTAAAATTCATATTGAATTTGGTCTATTCTTGTGTGTGGATTTGAGATTGAGTAAAGAGAAACAGCAAATCGACACAATAACTGTAATATAGTGTAGGGAAAAAGCTGGACAGATAGAGAGAAATGACAGAGGGAAAGAATATATTATAAGTAAAATCTACCTGACGCGCCCTGCACTTGTAGTCCTATATGGCCGTAAAGAAAAAAACAACATCATTAACACCCCCTCCTCCACCCCCCCCCCAAAAAAAAGGCCGAAATGGAAAAACGTCCAACAGAAATAAACCGGCAGTTTCAACTCTTTAGATTTTAACACTCGAATCGTAACCAAAGACCATGGACTAAAAAACATCCCTCTGAATTAAACATGAGCCTCTACTCCACAGTTCCATCCACTCAAAGAACAAATTAAGTTCCCTCATTGCAGGCACCACTAACGAAGTCTCAATACCACCCGCCCGCGCTGCTCGAACTGAGTTCGGGAACAACAGTTCATTAATTCTACTAGGATCATCATACCTTTGATGGTGATATCCATGATGAAAACGTGCATTAAAAATATACCAGGCTTCTGAGAGAGAACAGCCCAGAATCAAACTTTAAATCAACAAACCAGTTGCTGAATTCGAAAGGACGACCAATGTAGTCCATTCTGACATTAAAGGACCAAAAGCAACTTTTTAACGAAAGGCCGACCAAAATAATTGCACTAAACAAAACGTATACCTTCGTTCACCTCAAACAAATTTCCATGGATATCGAAAATTTCCGTGGATATCGAAAAACCATATCTCGAACAAACTTCCATGGATATGGTAAAACACAAGAAACACACATACACCCAAATCTGATTTCTTTCAGCGGAGAAAAAGACAATAAAACCCGTCGTAAATAATGATTATCTTTCGGTTGAACTGGGAGCACGGTAGCTGTGGCCCCCCACATAGCCACACACGACACAACAACTGAAGATACCGGGGCAAGGTCCTCGGTCCTGTGGGGTGACAGGGAGCCCCCCTCCAACCCCCCCCCCCCCTTGCTTGTTAAGTTTCTAACGTTCAAATGTTTTATCTGACCTTCATGACTCACACGACGTACTCTACGAGCCGGGTGAAGAGGAGAGCAGGGCACAGTGGCGTCTCGCGCTATTCCCCCATTCCACAGCAGCAATACTTCTCTAGCGGGAAGCGAACACGAGACGTGATTTGCATGTGCGAAAGGTCATTACGTGAGACCCAAAAAAAAAAAAAAAAAGCATTAGAAGCTGGAGTGGGACAACCATCCATTTCATGACGTACCGGAATCTTTTAGCACCCGTAGCAAATTAACCGGTACAAAACAGCTGGCGGTCATACGAGCCCCCGCTCATATAATAGGGCAACCGAGCAAAGATCGAGGGAACAGTATTTTGATTAACAGATTTAAAATTCTATGATGGAGGGAATATTATTACTAGACATAACACAATTTGATACATTTGTTCAAACTATTTCCATAAAACGTTCAGTTTCACCTCCATATTTAAAAATCCAATTTTTTTTGTACATGACCACGAAAAAACATAATTTAGTAGAACGAGAAAGTCATCCGGATCACCACACTACGCAAGAAACATCCCTTTTTGAGAAACGAACCGGTGAACCGGGTACACACATGTAATTCGAATTTCGTCCAACAATACTGCCAGTCAAACGAGTCTCTAATATTGTGGGCTGGTGATGTGAAGCACAGAGGCTTTGGACCTCACGCTGTGACAGGAGAAAGGGCTGGCAGCGGGGATAACAACAGTGTCACACGCACACACACTATACTGACGCTTATTACGCTCACACGTCATCCTGGGGTGAAGTGGTGGTGTAGGCCTAGTGCACTGTGGACGGAGTGCTCTCTCTTTCTCTCTCTCTCTCTCTCTCTCTCTCTCTCACACACACACACACATACACAAACAAAAAGCTAGGTTAATGAATCTATGGGCATACGAACAGACACTGACATAGAGATAGACAGACAGACAGACAGATAGATAGACAGATAAAAAGATTTTTTTTAAAAGATCGACTCTATTTAGATCACTCAGTGGACGGGCTTCGTGAGCCTGCCTGTTAAAGCCAACCCAGGCTGATAGGGATATAACGTCCCAGCTCGATACAAATTCTCCTCACACCGGAATCGAACTCACGTCTTCTGCGTACGACTGCGCACCACCTAAACTCTACACTGCAGACACCACTGCAGCGCGCAGTTGCAACATCAAAGGAATTAGTCGGAGCAAATCACACCATACCGCATACCAACGACAACACCCACGGGTAGGCAGTGAGAGATGGAGGATTGGAGACAGACGGGGTACCTTCAGAGAAAACAACCACGGTGTGGGCAGAAAAGCCAGACGCAGATAGGATGAGCGATAATAAAAATAACATAGCCTCTCCCATCGTGACATTTGATATCACAATGGTTCCCAAGTCTTTCACAGCACGCTGACTCAGAATAAATAATCCCAGTCCTCCCCCGACCCACCTCTGCCTGCCCCGCCCTCACTTTTCTCTCTCACTTCTACACGCGGGAGGTACCATATCCAAGCTACTCATTCTCTTTTTATACATTTACCCCAAGGCATAGAGCAATACTTCAATCTGCAGAGTGCAACAACTTGCACTTCAGGAGCACACATCCAGAGGTTATAGAGAAGTCACTCGCCTGCCACGCTTTGGACCTCATGATCGAGTCAGTTCGGCCCGAGGCCCGAATACAAGAAAATTATATAGAGGACCCCACCTACATCCACACTGTAGGTGGTTGGCGGGTGCTCTTGTGTGGCTTGCTCCTTCTTTCCTATCAAATGTCTATCATCCGCAGCTTGCCTCCTTCTTTGTGCTTGTTACTCTATAGAAACAGCTCCAATCTTCGGCATTTATTGAATTAATTGTGCTGCAAGTGCTGTAAAACTCTTACTAAAGCAAATGCCCCCCCCCCCCGCCCACACCCACAACTACAGCACCCCAAACAACCCACACACAAATACAAACACAGTCCCAAAGACAGAAGACATATGTGTATCTGTGTCTCTGCAGCTCTCTCCCTCCCTGGCACACAAAATCCAATAAAAAAGAAAAACCCAGATAACCATAAGGCTACTGATGAGTCACCGCTTCTGAGAGTCCCTTATGCTTGCGGCGATATCACGACAGGCAGAAATGTTTTCACGTGACAAGTCAAAATCTGTCTCTGTTCCCCCCCTCTCTCTCAATCTCTTTATTTTTCTCTCCCCCTCTCTCTCCCCGACCCGAAATCTTCCCCACCCACTGACAAAAAAGAAAAAAAAAAAGAAAAAAGAGCAAGTTCAACGAATCTCCGCCTCTGAATTTCTATGCCTTTTTAAAAAGTTACTAGTCTTACAGGACACTCTGGAGCTAATGTTGACGGCCAGGGTACCTAGCAGGCTGTTATGACCGCTAAATGTTTTGCGTCTCCATCGACACAAAACAGGTTATGTATCTTTATTAAACATTATTATTGTTAACAACAAATGTGTTGACTGCGGGTCTGTCAGTGAGGGCAAGCCTATATTACTGTGAGTGTATTCAAGTATGTGTGCGAAAGAGAGGCTGTACGAGCTAAATTGGAACTTCAGTTAGTCTAATAATCTGCACATCAGCGTGTGGCATGAGTTCGGAACCAACTGCGCTACCACAGACCCTTATGTTCAGCTGTTACGACCGGAGCTGAAAACTACGGCGAACCGCCACGAAAATGTCAACATTGCACCAGCAAAAAAATTAGGATTATAATAAAAGTTACAATGAGAAGAAGTAGAAAGGAGAGACCATATCAGAGCGAGCCTTGCTATCACAGATATCCTTTCCTTTCAGGAACTATTGTTAAAAAACAAACACCCCTCAAAAACAAAAACAAAACAACAACAACAAAAAAACAACAAACAAAAACAATAAAAAAAAAAAGAAAAAAAGACGACAACGATCGTAACGTGCGGGGCGGAGGAAGCGGAAACAACAAAAATTCATAAGTTGAATCACAGATAAAAGACGTGTGCAAGCTCTTCAGGATCAATAAACGTCTACCGAGGGGCTTCCGTCAGATCGGGCATGGTGGCCATCGCCATGGCAACGTTGTAACATGCAGAACTTCACTTCTTGTCGCACCCACCACTTATTTACCAAGAGGATACACACACACACACACACACACACACACACACACACACACACACACACACACACACACACACACACACACACACACACACACACGGTTACAGTCGCGGAAACAAGAGTTCAAACAGGCAGAAACGTCAGGTACACAGAGAAAAAGACAGGGCTAAATAAACAGGCGAAATCGCATTCTGAGAGATGGACAGAAAGATAAGACGTGAACAAAACAAATCAATAAAGTGCACACGGGGATTTGTTTCGTTTCTTTGAGTAAAGAGAAGTACGTCGACACAACAGCGGCCATTTAACGAAGAGAAAAAAGCAATACCGACACACAGAAACAACAAAGGGAAAGTAAAAACTCAGGACTTGCTAGTGGCGACTTCCAACTACTCGCACACATACATAGAGAGGAAAATAACAGAGCGAACCAGAGAGCGAGCAGTAGAGATAAATACATTATAGACAGACAGACAGACAGGTAGATAGAGAGATAAATAGATAGATAGATAGATGAGAGATAGATAAATAGATAGACGGATAGAGAGAGAGAAAGAGAGAGATAGATAGATAGATAGATAGATAGATAGATAGATAGATAGAGAGAGAGAGAGAGAGAGAGAGAGAGAGAGAGAGAGAGAGAGAGAGAGAGAGAGAGAGAGAGAGAGAGCCACAAACACGAGAACAGCCTGAGCGCCATAATGAGCAGCAATGTGACATTACAACTCGCGCGACGCTCGCATCGATAATGATGTCATAATATCATCAGATAAACTGTCGCAGCACCACATCGCTCATCGTGCATATCTCTCTAGATCTACTACTACGTATAATAAGCAAGTGCGACTACATCCAACCGTTCACAGGATCCCTACTTTTGACTAAACGGAGCGCTCGTGACGCTAAGCTCTCCGCTGCTACTATTCTCGTCCCTATGAAAGGATTGCTTTAGCAATTGACGTTTCCGCTAATGGTCAGGGATGTCAGTCGCTGCGCAGCATATAGAAGCCGTACGATTTGATTTCCAACTTGCACATCTCAGCACGCAATATTGTTTTTTGGCGTTTTGTATATTGTTGAGTAAAAGCCCCAAGTAAAGTGGCAAGCAATTGTGTTTTTGACTTGACATTATTATCATCTAAATAAACAGGAATGCAAAATAACACGTTCAAACGTGTCAAGACATGAAAAATAAAGATATTAATTTTTGCTATTTAATAAAACAGATGATACGATCATATTACTTTACATATATGAGAGACATATAAAACGGCCCGCTTATTTCAGCTTCAGCACGTGCGAACACAAGGGGTAATTAATCAAGAGACGGCAACACTCTCTCTGAACGAACAAGCCCCTACCAATTCCTGACGGCCATTTCGGACCCCCCCCCCACACACACACCACATACACACAAAAACCCATTGACAGATATAACTGGCCGGCGCGATACAAACCGCAGTGGAAGATGCCGGTTAACATAACCTAAGTCAGTGCCGTCATAATGGGTTAAAAGTACCCCTTTATAAAAACTACACAAAGGCAATTTCTCGCTGCACACACATCCCCTCCAAGTCTAAATCCTCTTGTAGCATTTATCTTCGCAGTCGTTTGACACCATGATCCACATCGCTTTTGGAAAGGAAATTCCTGCTTCTACCTTGAGATACGATAAGGACGTCGCCCCGAATATCCCGCTACTGAAAACCTCACAAAACGAGCTGATACACTCGTTCTTCCACTAAGGCATGGCTGTGAGAGGCAACCCTGGCAAACACCGGA